TCGAGTGATGACCTCATTCGGAACGCATTAAGAGTCAGTACTGACCACTGCGCACGTGTTTCGTTACGCAGACAGCCGCAATTACGAGTGCTGACACCATGGTGGTATTTTGAGACGCAGGTGTCAGTGAGGGCTGCTAACAAGTCAGAAAATCTGACTGCTTTTTGTTATCTCAGCACAGCGGTTTATCCGCGCTGGTGTACAGCAAGCAGGGTTTAGGCTGGGTTTTAGAAGGGTCAAAAGTGCCCATAAAATGCGCGTAAAATCTTTTGGGCCATGGTGTGGCCTGGCGGGGTCGGAGTTTCTTGATTGATTGGGTCGAGTCTCTTTCCGAACCCAACAGAGTTGCCGAACTGCATGATCGGGCTCGGCGACTGCTCCGGCGGTCGAATCTGGCTGAAGTTGTGCAACGTCCGTTTTCGCAGGTGCCAAGCAGTGCCAGAAAGTGGCGCACTGATAATTTCAGCACGGAACTGCATCTCGCTGGCCGGACTAGAGTTGGAGTGATGGAGCTCTCTGGCTCAAGCGATCTCGTGCCTTTGGGTCCCTCTTCTCAAACAGATCAAGCTAACTTTTGTGCTTGTGATTTGCTCAATCTGAGATCCGAATCCTTGGGCTTCAAACTGAAGATCCATGATAAGCTGCGGTGCTGACCCAGGCAGCAGCGCGTAAGAGACGTGCTGCATAGGGTCTCATGGACCCGCCAGCGGTCCACCAGGGGAAACCACCAAAGGTAGCAATTCTGGTATCCACACCTTAGTGAAGTGTTGGAAGTGGTTGCTTCAGGCCAGCCACATCCCGATTTGGATTCTAGTGCTGTTGTATCTCTGCTAGCGACGCTGATGCTAACAAATGCGGGTGTCTTTGACCATCAATTCCAATGTCTGCAGTTGGAGATTGGCAGCAGAGTGCTGTGGCAAAGGTGGCCCCTTCTTGCAGCCTCTCGTATGAACTCAATGTGGGTCCAGGGACACCAACCCTCAAAACTTCATGCCAATGCTCTTCCCCTTTGGGGCAGTATCTGTAGGTGCAAAAAACGTTCGCTTTTTCCTCGTTTATTTGAGTTCTGACATGCCTGCCTCCATCCCTTCCGCTTTTTTGCACTCGAGGCGTCCGTTGCGTTTCATACGCGTTCAAAAAAAGCATTCGCCAGCACACGAACGTGCAAGCCAGACCGGGGAACAGCCCTCATGCTCCGACCTCTTGGCACCGGGTTGTAAGTTTTGTCCTTCTGCCCTTCTTGAAGCAAAAAGCAATTTTGTAAAAAAACCAAAAGGCCAGTTTTGTCGAAAGCCACTTTTCTCGAAAAGTGACTTTTTGCGTCGCGTCGTGTCCCCGAAAAGCCACTTTTTCGAAAAGTGACTTTTCTCGAAAAGCCACTTTTCTCGAAAAGCCACTTTCACTTTTCTCGCGACGTTGAGAGCACCGTGTCCGCGAAAAGCCACTTTTCTCGAAAAGCCGTTTTTCTGAAAAAGCCACTTCTTGCGAAAGTGACTTTTCTGCATCGTCGCGCGCCGTGTTCCCTTTCGGGAAGCCACTTTTCTCGAAAAGACTTTTCTCAAAAAAACCAATTTTCTCGATTCTCGAAAAGCCACTTTTTGCAAAAAGTAACTTTTCTCGCGGTGTTGGAGCGTACCGCCGCGTTCGCGAAAAGCCACTTTTCTCGAAAAGTTACTTTCTCGTGGCGTTGGAGCGCGCGGTGTCTGCGAAAAGCAACTTTTCCCGACATGCCATGTTTCTTGAAGAGCCACCTTTTGCGCAAATTGAGTGTTTAGGGTTAGGGTTTAGGATTTAGGGTTGAGGGTTTACGGGAAAGGGTTTCTGGTTTAGCGTGTAGGGCTTATGTAGGGTTTAGGGTGTAGGGTTTAGGGTTTAGGGTTTAAGGTGTAGGGTGTAGGGTGTAGGGTTTAGGGTTTAGGGTTTAAGGCTTAGTGTTTAGGGTTTAGGGTTTTAGGGCTTGGCCCAGCAGCCTCAGGACAATCAGAGAATTGCCCTTCGTGTTCAAAGGGGGACTCAGGGATCCTAGCCCAACGACAACAAGGGAAATAGGGGTGCTACTTGCTGGGCACCACGGTTTAGGGTTTAGGGTTTAGGGTTTAGGCTTTCGGGTTTGGGGTTTGGGGGAGGCTTTAGATCTTGGGTCTTAGTCCTGAGGGCTTGCTCCAGACCCTCAACTCGAAACCCTAAACCCTAAACCCTTATAAACCCTTACTAAACCCTAAACCCTAAACCCTAAACATCGTCGGGGCTTGCTTAATGCTCTTAATCTTCGACAGCGACTCTGTCAGGCTGTGAACCCCGCTACTAGAACTCCAGAATCCCCCCCAGCTCTACTATGATTATCAAGGCCGGTATAAATGCCGCTGTGGGTGCCTTGCCGTGCCATAGCTCAGAGAAGCGGAAAAGGGAGGCGTAGAGGTTCCCTTGGTTGCTTCAATGGTGGGCGCCGTGTGGGGGCGCACAGCGTCTTTCAAAAGCCACTTGTCTCACAAAGCCACTTCGCTCGAAAAGCCACGTTTCTCGAAAAGCCAGTTTTCTCGAAAAGCCACTTTTTGCGAAAAGTGACTTTTCTCGCCGCGTTGGCGCGCGCGGCGTCCGCGAAAAGCCACTTTTCTCGAAAAGCCACTTTTTGCGAAAAGTGACTTTTCTCGCGACGTTGCAAACGCCGTGTCCGCGAAAAGCCACTTTTCTCGAAAAGCAACTTTTGTAAAAGCCAGACATTTTGACACGGAGTTGTGACCGAAAAAGGTCTGGCGCAAGGGTATGCTTTAGGATTTTTTCGATGTGTGAACTGTTAGAAAACCGCCTTGTGAACTTTTTGGTGTGAGCTATTAAAACCCTTAATGGCGCGAGCTGTCAAAACCTTGATGTGGCATCACATTTGTGCGCGCCAGCAACCAAATAGCTCTGAGGGTTTCTTGATGTAAGCGATTTAAAGCCCGAAAAATTTCGATACGGCTTTTTGCACGAAAAGAAAAGGGTGGTGGGACAGACACGAGCTATTTAGTGAAAAACCTTTTTTTTTGACGGGAGCTCCTTTCTACGTGCAGCAGATCAGTGAGCAATCTTTTAAGAAGAACGAACCTAAGCAAAAAGGCTCGAACAGGCTGCCGGCAAACAAACAGCCAGAAAGAAGAAGCACACGCAACCCCAGCCAGAGCACGGAGCCCATTCAAGCGACGGCCTAAGAGAAGCTACTTGCATCTACGGCTAAGAAGCAGCTCAAAACAAGAGAGTGAAAAGATACCCGCGGTGTTAGGTATTGAGAGCGTCTGTACAGGTGAGACGAAAGCAGCTACCCCGCTCAAGCTAGCCACTCTCAGTACTGGAAGTCGCCGAAGTTGGCTGCCATTGCAGCTGTTTAGTGAAAAACCCATTTCATGGCATTAAAGACATTATGATTTTAGGGCTTTTTGGTGCGAGCTCTTGGAAACCCAGCCATTTTTCACACTTTGGCGGGAGCTAGTCGGCAAAACCCTTTGTGGCGGAAGCTATTTGGTCAAAACCCTTTTAAACGGCATAAAATAGCTTGCGCCAGCAACCAAACAGCTCTTAGTTGGTGAAAACACTGTTAGGTACTTGAAGCCCTGCGCGAGCCATTTAGATTTTTAATGACGCGAGCTATCAAGTAGCTTGCGCCAGCGACCAAATAGCTCCTAGGGTTTTTGTGTGAGTGTGTGTGTGACCAAGTTATTACGCAGACATTTTTCACACGGTCTTTTCGCACAACAAGGGTGGCGTGAGCTATTTGGTCAGGCGCGAGCTATTTGGACAAAGTTTTAAGCGGCATCACGCATGTTTCAATGTTATGATTATAGCGATCTTTGCAGTGCAGGGAAATAAGTCTTTACTGACGCCGCCCCCGCTTTGGGGGTCGGCGGACATGTTTGTAGATATATATATGTATATAGATGTACATAGCTGAAACGCCTTAAAGTGAGGGGGTGCTTAGCACCCCTTTTGCACCCTTCAATTTACTTACTCGTGCCTGCAAAGTTTCAAGCCCTCTTCTTCGCACATTTTTTTTACCAGATGGCTTGTGCCATAAAGGGTTTTAACACTCTTTAGAGCTATTTGGTCAAAACCTTTAAAACGGCATCAAGTTTTGAAGAAACCAGCTAGATCATCGTTGTATAGCTGACACGCTTTTTTCGCACAAAAAAGAGGGTGGCGCAAGCTCTTTGATCAGCGCGGGCTACTTGGTTAGAACCCTTTGAATGGCCAAGCACGTTATGATGTTAGGATTTTTGGTGCGGAAACCCGGGCAATTGTCTCAGCTATTCATAGCTGGTGCCAACCTGCACTTTGGCACCAGCTATTCATAGCTGGTGCCAACGTGTCAAAAATGCTTGGAAGGCTTCCACATCGCTCTGATCAACCTCGTGAGCGGCCGGAGTGGGATGTGCGCCAGCTCACCTTCCTCAAGCTGCTGAAAGGCCTTACAGCAGACCCAGCAGACGGACGCTTGTGAGAAGTGCTTGTGGCTCGGGTCGAAGATGCTGCTATATGCAGCAGTGGCTGCAAGCTATCAATTTTCTCGGAGCGTGCACGTCGTGCCGATGCTGTTGCGTCGCCCCGCAACACAAAGAAGTGAATGAGGTTTGCGTTCCTTAGCTTGTGCTGAAGTCTTGGATTGTTTCAATGTATTCGTTGCTGGGCAAATGCGTTCTTAAACCTTTCTGATCGGTTGACAGCAACATACCAGGGGAGACTCGATTTGAATAAGTCTGTTTACACCTTGTACAAATGTTATTGCTTTAAGGGTTGCGGGAGTTGCCGTCGCTGGCGTGTTGTCACGGAAATGTCGGCATGTTTGCTGCTCTGCTGACATTGCAGTCTAAAATGCCATGGAATACCACCACACTCTGCAGTTGGGCTAGTTGCATGTGACGGTGCTCCTTCCCACACATCCAAGAGCTTGTGAACATGACACACGACAAGAAAACAACACATGTTAAGTTGCCCTTGCCAATGTACGGCATCTGCAATGGGCTGCGTTGATGGTGCGGCCCTAAGGGCGGGTATTTGAGCCCTCAATGGCGGAATGCTGACGATGCGCTTGAGCATCCGATTCTCCAACTTGCACGTGTGTAGGGTCCCTCTGTTGTTCCTCAGCAAGTTTGTGAGTGTGTTTGGACCACTTCAAGCGTGAGCTTATGATACTTTTTGCACGTGCATGCAAGCTGTGTGTGTTGTCATGAGGCTGGAGAAGAGGATGATGCTCTGGGATTCTTTCCCGTTCAGGACGCCTCACCGTGATTTCGCTACACGTTTGGACATATCTGCGCATAATGCCACTCAGAATCAAATGCTTTGGCCAAGCTTTACAGCTCTACACATTCGCTGCCAGGAGGAGAAACAGGGCTCACCGAAACAGGAGGATGAGCAGCAGGACGGGCAAGATCTCCAAGACTTCCTGCGGCAGCTCAGCCAAAGGCGTCGCACAGGGATAGGGTTCACGTGAGTTCACGTGTTATCATGTGTCCGGTGGCTGAAGGGCAGACCCTCTTCGTTACTTGTTTTTCCTTGCACAGTCTGCGAGCGCCCAAATTCGTATTGCAGGCAGAAATTACATACACTCCCCCAGACACGGAGCTACGATGCCCTGTTAAACGTACCATGTCTTACAATGCCCTCACAATGAATGCACTGCAATGCCTTCAAAGATCCCCCCCAAATCCATCTCACTCCCCTCCGAAAGGCCGGCGACCAGCCGCAGCTTCTCGACGCTGCTTTCGGCGCCACCTGCCCGACTGGAATGGGCCCGGGGCTTGGCTGGGCATGGCTTGGCCTCTCTCGAAAGGCACAGCACGAACCTCGCGCATCCGCCTCAAACCACCCCAACCCCAAAAAACCCCAAAAAACGATCTCGAAGTCCTCCGAAGTTCTGTTCCTTCTGAGGACTTCAGCGTCATGGCCAACCGAAAGCAGATCTTGAGCCGCATGGCGGGGAGAGCTCGCCCCGGTGAGGCCTCCACATCTTTTGGCTTCCGAGGTTGCAAGGGAAGCAAAGCCTGCCAGTTGCAAGTGCTTCGGTTTTTTGGCCGTTTGGCAGCATGCAGATGACGGCAGATGAGGGCACACAGTAGCAAAGAAGAACAGGAGTGACTCTTTCGAACTCTTTTGCAGTTTGAAGCACGCGGTTGCCTTTGCAGGTGTGCTGCATCCTGGGTGGGTCTGGTGCAGGCGTGGGGCAACGAAGCTCAGAACCCCATGGAGACACCAGTGCCTGCTACATCCTATGGCGTCCTACGAAATCCAGTGTACATGCCAGGAAAATCCACGTTGCTCAACGTCTTGGCCGGAAGGCCGCGACACATTTGCTTCTTCGCTTTAGTTGGCCTCTTTGTGCACTCTAATCACTCCCTTCGAAATGGAGAGATGGCCCGGCCAGGCAGCTGACGAACCGGGTCTTCCGCATCGAGGCTTTTTTTCGTTAGAAGAATCCACAAAACAACGCAACACAAGGAACATGTGGTTTTGTAAACGCAAGGTGTATATTGTTACTACTCACCCCCGAGGCAGGTTCGCATTCAGGACCTGGCATGCTACACCACAAATATTAGGAGTCTTACTTGACGTCGAGATGAAAGTTGCATTTCCTTGGTCACCACGACACTGGTTCCGAGCACCTTCTCAGCTTTTTGGACTGTGTCTGTGAGCTCCATCTCGTGCTGCAGCGAAGTATCAATACCTCCAGCTCCATATCTTTTGCAAGCACAGTTGCGGTTGAAATTGACGGCCTTCCTTGGTTCCATGCCTGATTAGTATGATTAATATCTTTGTCCATGCTACCCTAGCAACGTGAAACCGAGGGCTCCTGTCCCTTCTTGCACTCTTCCATGAAAAGGGCTGTTGACCTCCCCCCCAGACTGTTGCATGCGACTCCATAGATTCCGCAGTGAGGGTGAGCTCCGCGTCAATGGGCGAAACGTGGAACCATGGCGACTGCGACCTCGCGTGGTCCGGGTTTCAGCCGCGGTGAGCCAGGGGCATGTAGGATTTAGAAAGTTGATTGACTTTTCGTGATTTTTCGGTCCGACCACTTCGGATGCGCAAACCGATGTCTGAAAGTGCTGTGCCACTGCAGCCATGCAATCCCACCCAGGCGTATGTCATGCAAAAGGATGAGTTCTTTGCGACGGAGACGCCCCGTGAGGCCCGTATTTTCTCTCTATCTCTCTCTCTCTCGCTCTCGCTCTCGCTCGCTAGCTCACTGTTTCTCTCTGTCTCTCTCGCTCTCTCCGTCTCTCTTTCTTTGATTTTTGTCCCTCACGTTTCTGTGTTTTTGCAATTGCGGACCTTTCAGACTTTGAGCCATTGGAAGGGCAGACCGAGGTTCGGTAGAGTTTTGTTTTTGGAGGCTTTGGCAGGAAGTAGTTCAACGTGGGTGAAGCTCGGGATGGTAAAGTGACTGTGGCCGCTTTTTTCGTGGCCGTGGAGTAGCTCAGACAAGCATGCAACGGGGCAGTCGACGTTCTGCATTAGAAGCTCCTTCACTTGGGCGACCACCTTCTCATACTGTGATGCAACACCGATGGGCGCATTCCTCTTTGGTGCACAGCATTTTTTGCGCCAAATGCCTCTGCCACTTCTGTTGGCGCTGCGGACATACTGAGAGAGAGAGAGAGAGAGAGAGAGCGAGCGAGCGAGAGAGAGAGAGAGAGAGATAGTGAGCAGCAGTCTCGCACTGAACACGCACCTGGGCGCGCTTCTGCGCGAGGGGTCTTCTGGCCCCCCCTTGCCCTAGAGATAGAGTGAGAGAGAGGAAGAGATGGTCAACGTACGTGTGAAAGGGTTGGTTGCCAGGCCATCCTGTTTTCAGCTCGCCTCAGACTTTCTGCAAACCATCTAGCAGAGCTGGAGGCTGGGTGGACTTGCAGCACCGTTTTTGCGTGTCCTTTCTTCTCGGCTTCAAGGGTCTCTCGGCTCCAGTTTCGTTTGGGCCGAGCCCTTCGGAAAATAGCACCAAACTGGAGCACTCCTTTGCCCCAAAGACCTGCGGTCGGATGAAATACACAAGCAGTCTAGGTAGGAGGACACTAGAGTTACAGGCCGTCAGCAGCGCGGTCCTCACGCGAACTAGACTCCGTGGCAGTTTCCGCATACAGAAGTCCCCCACAAGTCGACATTTCATTCTGCTCATATGACCCACCAGGACAAAGGTATCCACAGCTACATCTCCCAACTGCTGGAGTCGCTGGGCCTCTCTGGCTGCTGCGATAGGCAGAGGTTTTGAGTCCTCAGTCCTAGTCGGCCGAGGAATGCCCCCGTTGGCAAACGCATTTTGGGGGTCTTTAAGAGACTGCTCCAAAGCCGCAGGCGCATCGGAGGTGCCAGCCTGAATGGCATCAGCAACGGCGAGCGGAAGCGGGTTAGCAGCAGCCCCAGCTCTCCAGTGGAGGGGGCAAAGAGGCGCTTGAGTGAGCTTTGCAAAGAAGGGCAGTGGGGAACGGTGGAGACTCAGACTTTTGCATTTCAGGTTCTTGCTGAAACATCCAACAGAAGACGCCTGTTGACGTTACAATGAGGGGGCAATCTGACAGTGACAGCGGAGATGCAGAGGTATTGGAGTCGAACTCATCACTCGGCTCGCAGCTTAGTGAGCTCTGAGAATGTGGAGTCTTTATCCGGTGACAGCACGTTCTCGACTACGGCATATCTCGCGTGGTCAGTGTGGCTTGCAGGCCTTCCATTGTTTTCTTAGACGAGCCGCCAGGGGCCTACCAACTTCCAAGGGCGAGATGGAACACTCGCTTTCTGGCCCATGCTGACCTGTTGCCGGCCCGCTTTCTGTATTTCTTCTGTGTCATGGGAACCCATGCGCGGCGCGGATGTCCAAGGACGACTGGTTTGGACTCCTTCAGTGCGTGGCAGGCCAGGCTTTCCAGCTTGCCAGAGACCCACTGTGTCATTATGTACAGTGACATGACCATCACGTTATGTCATGTGCCCGTCAGATCACGTGTGCTTGTGCGATTGCAACAAGCTGGCAGGTTATGCGAATCGTCAAGGATCTTGCCCTGAGCGGTTGCGCGGGCCCTGGAACCTCAACCACTCGAACTGCAAACTGACTTCTACACTGCGTGGCCGATGTTGTGTGCTTTTCAGGAAAGGGCTCTCAAGAATCATTCATCCCAAAGCTCTGTAGACTCTGTGGAGCACACTACGGGCCCACGGGGCTTAGGATTCTGGATGTTTTCGGGTTTCGTGGCTTCTGGAGGTTGTGGAGGATTTCAGGGTACTCTGGCTTTGACCAAGGCACCGTGATCTGCACCATCCACCAGCCGTCCTCGGAGAAACCAGCTGATGTTGTTTCAGGGTTGGCAGTTTCATTCAGGTTGAGTGTTTGATGTGACGATGTTTGACTGGTTTAGCATTCAAGATTTAGTTTTCGGGTTTCTAAGCTGTGACACGGTGCGTACATTTAGGGTGTAAGGTTTGCGGTTCCCCCCCCGCCTCATAGTGTGGTTGGTGGGGTTGGGGTTAAACCCTTCGGGTTTAGGGTTGGGGTGTAACCCTGAGCGGGGATATCACGGGGGGAAGTGGCGGACCGGACCCCGATCATGTATCCTTTCCTTCGTTAGTGAGTTTAGAGTGCTAACTTCTGTCGCTCTCTTCGTTCTCTCCTCCAATAGTCATCATACAGCAAGACATGACCGGCCCAGTAGCGTGCGTTAACTGCCTTAACTTACCTTAATGGCCTTTCATAGCATATTATGAAAATTAAGTTCCTTTCAGGCGGTCTTGTGTCAGATAAGGTCTCAAGGTGTGACAGGGAGAGAGTGGTTAGCCTTTACTTTTTCCTTTCGCTAAGTTCGCGGAATAGTTTAAAGGATTTTAGATTGCGAACGTCATTTTGTGATACAAATGCAGGAGATCTTTGCTATGGTGGACAGAGCACGGGCCTCGGCGATCACATGTCTTGCATGTGACATAGCTGAGGGCCTCTGAACAGACTCTTCAGGGTGTGCTGCAGCTACCGTTTAAGGTGATACTTGCGTGTATACTTATACTACCTGCCATGGCTGTTTTTCTCAGCGCGACCGACTATCATGCACATATTTGCAGTGTTCTCAACGCCCAGGGCGAGGGCGAGACGGCGGCGTCAAGAGCCTCCCCCCCTCCCCCGCGAATGTTTCGGGAGGTGATCTGCCTTTGCCATCAGCGGGCCATCTTCCAGGGGCCGGCCGTGGACCTCCCAAAGTGGCTGGAGGAGCCTCGGGCCTCAGAAACTTTGGCGTGCTCTGGAGTGCTTGGCTTCGGCTCTGTGAGTTGCTGATGTAATGTTAAGAGGCCCACTTGCTATATCGGATTGGGGCTAAACTAGTTGTAAGGCTGCCTTGCGACGATCAAGGGCTCTGCTGGGGTAGTGCGTCAGCGAGCCCAGGTCGGGTCGACATGTGCCTCGCGACTACAACCCAGCAGACTACGTCAGGAGCTCCACCTCGATTCCCAAGCAGATATGTGGATCAGGGACGCCTTGTGCGAGTAGGAAACGATGTTTTCAGGGCACGGCCTTTTGAGGTCATGTTCCTGATGGAGACTCTGCCTAAACGGGATGTGGAGCTTCTCTGTGACAAGGGCAAGCTGAGCAGCTCGGCCTGGAAGGATCTCCCGGAGCTTGGTTTCGAGTGTACTACGAACACCCTCCCTGAGATTCCTACTTGAAATCCTCTGAAATCCCTTGAACAATTCCCCCCAGCCTGAACTCTTAACTCTCAATCACGAGTCCCCTCTTATCGGCATGGTGCGGATTTATTCCGCCAAATTCACGTTGGGGTCAAGAAGTCGAAGTCTTCTGCGGGCTGGAAGGGCTCAGGCGCTTGGGTTTGAGTTCTTGGGCCTTCGGGTTCATTCAGGATAGTTGGGGTGCTGGTGAAGCTTTGCTGAGAATCGGCCTGGGCAGGGGTGCAGGGATTCGGTCGCTCGGAGACGGTACATCCCAAGTCCAGAAAATCCGAGACTGTTGGCATCTCCTTTCACCTGCAGGTCGGGAAAGCAGCTTCCGGCCCAGTGCGGAAGGCGGCGCTGCCCCGCACAGGCCGTTGGGTGCTCAGAGTTCAGGGAGAGTTCGGAGGGTTATTTTTTTGATGAGCTCTTTTGAGCTCTTCCAGCCTACAGTCGCGGATTCCAAAAGCCCTCTGAAGTGGATCCCTTCGGCTTCTGAGCTGTGACGCAGCGCCTTGATGCGGCTCCAGTCGAAGCGCACCTCAGAAGCTCCCAGGTTTGACGCTGCAAGCAGAGCATGATGTGATAGGGGTTGCAGAAGTGCCAAGGCTCGATCCATCAAAGATGCGCAAGGGCTTCGGCCTTCAGGCTGGAGAAGTTTTCGGGAAAATAGTCTCGAGTTCAGGGGGTCCTTGCTTGGCAATGACACTCAAGGTATGGTGCCTGACGCAGCGGGAATGGCGCAACCTCAGGCTGCGAAGTGAATCAATTCGGAGCCTCCACTAGGATCTGGTCGGGTTGCCCACTTTCAGGAGGTGCAGACATTTGTGTCGATGGCGGTGTTGGTCGTGGCATGTCGCGGTTGGGCTTCTGGTCTTATGGCTGCAGTCGTGGTCTTCATAGTTGTCCTTGTTCTTGGGTTTCCTCTTGCTCGTTCGGGATGTTCTGGGTATGGTTGCGGAGCTGGTTGTGGACCGGCTGTCGTGAATGCCTTCAACTTCGAAGGTCCAGGGAGCCAACACAGTCCCAGAGCCCTGCCAACCCCAGCGATTGCCACTGCGAGGCGCGACAGCGCGTCGCTGAAGTCTGGCACCTGGAAGATGTGCTTTTAATCGTCGCTACGCGGCTTAGGGTTATTCCCGGAGAAGTTCCCCGAGGCTGCGGTTCGTTCTCACCGCCTTCCTGTCCATCCTTTTTTCGCTGGTTGCATGCTCAGCATTGCTCAGCCACAAAAGTTCCCTCATCGCTGAACCCGGAAGTACCTAAACATGACGAAAAGCCATGCGGCTGACAAAGCCCACCGTTCGCAGAGGTGTTTTTCAATGTGGGGGAGCATCCGGTCTTGGCAACCCTTCGCCGTAAATCAGGCCTGTGGCTTTCTCCTGTGATGCCTGAACTCTGCTACGGTTTGGGGGCCTTCTGTTGTACTGGTCCTCTCATCATGCCATCCAGAGGAATCACTTGCTAAACCATGCCGGGCGGGGGGGGGGCGTGACCGCTTGTTGCAAGCTTGCTTCGAAGAAGAGGCAATAGAGGGCCTTCATAGAGAAGCATGAACAGAGGTTTTCTCTTATTCAAAGATAGCGCGCGGAGGAAGTAGACTTACAGGAGGCTGTTTGAAGTATAGAGGAAATAGAGGTCTCCTAGTACAATTTGGAGGAAAAGAGTTTTGTCATGGAGAAGTGTGGGGAGCATGGAGAAAAACGTGGTTTCCTTGTAGTTTCCTACTAAGATGAGGTGGAAAATGAAATTGTAGAGGTTTGCAAAAAAAGCAAGGAAAAATGCTTCGTCATAGTTTAATTGAAGGAGCTGGCGGAGCATATATACAGCGGACATGGTGGTTTTTCATTGGAGTATTCGAGGAGTGTGTTTCCTTTGACAGTGTGGAGTTTCCCGAGTAGAATACAAAGGAAATCGAGCTTTTGCCATTCAACGTGTAGGGAAATTGGATGTTTCCTATTGAAGTCCAGGAGGGAACACCCACAACCCTGAACTCCACAGTCCAGTAAAGCCTCGGACCCTGAGCTCCAGATCCGATTCGCGCTTGTTGGAATCCGATACTTGAGGATCAGCCTGAGACATCATGCAGTTGTATGGACGGTGTCAGGTGGCCTCCTCCAGGTTGCCTTGGCCCACCCTCGGCTGCAGCGCGTCAGGCGGAGCCGCGGAGTTTGGGGGGGGTCTCAGGGGCGCAGTGCTTTCCTGGCATACGACCGAACAGCTTGCACCCGAAGTCCGAAGGCGCGTCTGCATGCGGGCCTTCTGCCCAGACGTGCCCATACTGCGGCAGCAGCTGCAGCGCGAGGTGGAGTACCACTACAAGGCCGATCCGGTCACAAGTGATTTGGGAGCCGTGATAAGCCATGGCAGGCCGTGGTGCAGGTGGGTTTTACAGCAATGTTCAGTGCCCATGCCTCGGAATTTCAGAGCCTTCTATTCGGCTGTGACGTGTTTTCAGCTGAGCGCAGAATTTTTCAAAGACAAGCAAGCAGTGTTGACACCTTCGAGACGAGTGCAGCATGCTAACGACTGCAGCGATGCCGTAGGTATTCGTCATCTTCTTCTTTCCTAGCCCACAGCAGACGTAGAAATCGTTGTGTCTTCAAGGCCTCGCAGCCCACGATTCTCAGCTTTCCGCTGGAACGGTCGGTTTTCCTGCGAGAGTACTCCTCGAATATGCGCCCTCACGGGGAATCAGCAGTGCTGCAAAGGCTACCCTACATCGTGGCATCAGCCCAGAACATCTCCTGCAGATCTTGGATTAGCATGGCTGAATTCCACCAAACGCTGTGTCATCAGGGGTAAGGGGGTTTAGGTTGCTGTGCTTAAATGGCACCCGCGTCCCGGACGCTGGCTCTCGCATATGGCCGTGGCACTCGTTTTTGTATCAAAAATCCGGCTCTCTGGTCTAGGCGTGGGCATGCGTGCGGAGAGGCAGAGGTGCCCAAGCATCGCAAAGAAACATGTTTTTCCTGGCCTCGCCGAGGGGGTGCCTACAAGTCGTGCTCTCACCTAGGGCCATATTCGAAATCGTGCTCCTTCTGCCTTGGGGGCGCTTCTTTTGAAAGAGCACCGCTTCGTGCCGCGAACATGTGGCGGTGGCGGTGGCACTTTTCCGACTCTGCTCCTTGGAGTGCCCGTAAAAGTGGTCCAGGAGTGCTCTTAGCTTCGTGTTCTCTTAGGGTGGTCTGGGAGATGGCCGTGGAGATGGCCGGTTCTAGGGTGCCGCATACCTGGCTTCCTGAAATACGGGTACTCGATTTATCTCGCACCGCTCGGCTTTTTTTTCCGCATCGATCGGCGTCCGCATTGGGGAACTGCATTCCCCAGAGTAGATGTCTTGATGTGCCGAAGTCGGCCTCGTTGTCGTCGAACGGCGTCCGCATTGAAGAATTGCATTGCCCAGAGTAAATCTCTCGAAGTCGGCCTCGTCGTCATCGATCGGCGTCTACATGATGAACTGCGCTGCCCAGAGTATATCTCTTGACGTGTCGAGGTCGGCCTCGTGCAGTCTTCGGGAGTTGCAAGGTAATGGAGATTGATGCGGGGTGGGGGTGGCCTCGGTCGCCTTGATCGCCGCCGCGACAACTCGAGCACCCCCTGGCAGTTTAGGTTGAATCGAGTTAGAGCTTGCTGAGTTGCTTGTTTTTCCAGCGTCTACATGGCGATTGGCTTTGGAAACAGCAAAAATGTGACAAAAACGCTGGCGTCCGCAGCAAATGCGGCAGTTTGACCTTGTTGGCTGTTTGCCTAAATTCTAGCATCCTTTGCCCTGATGTGCAATGCCGCCACAAGGGGTGATGTTGGGGGGTAAGCCTGCCACTTGTAGGTACGGCACGCTGGCATACTTCTTGTCCAAGATGCTTGTTGAGGCCTGAGTGCATGCTTCGGCCGGTGCAGGATTGATCTAGGAAAGGTCCTTTAAGCCGCAGATGTCAGCTCCAAAAGAGGCTGTTGGGGCACCGCCGGCAGGTCCCCCTGGGAGCAGTCCAGGCTTTCTTGGCGCTGACCCTTTCGCATCGCTGCATGAGGCAGGCATTGTGATAATGACTTTCGTGAGTGCCGCGTTTATTCAGGGTCAGGGGTGTGTGGGGGGGGGGGTGTGTGGTTGTATGTGCTGAAGAATTGGGTGTATTGTTCAAAAAGTTTTTTTCCAAAGAGTGTGTCACTTGCAGGTTCCAGGGAGACTTCTGGGAGATGTGGGCGACGGCTGGCATCTCGGTTCGGCTGGCCGAGGCAAAGTGGCACCCTGCAGGGAAGCCGGGATGCTAGAGCTTGCTTGAGTCCTTGAGGTCTGCCTCCTCAATGCGTGCGCTGCAACCTCAGCGAACTGTCGACCCTACAGACCCAAGGCGAGCTTCCGGGTACCGTACTTTATAGCGCCGGCTCATGAACAGCAGAAGCAGCGCATTGATAATTTTAGAGGGCGCTGGAGTCCAAGCTTTTGGCAGACCCTGGCCTCAAACCCCCCACCCTGGGCGTTTGATTGAGGGCTTCTTCTCTCTGACTCAAAGGCCGTGTCCTTCTCGTTGCTCATCGGCTGTGCGGAACTCAGATCCCACGGCGGAAATGAATTGATCATAAAACGCCGCACGCGTGCGCCGCCTCGGCCGCCTCGGCCACATCGGCCCTGCGAGACTTAGGGTTGAGACTTTGAGAATTATGGGCTTGTGGGCTTATAGCGCTGCCGGTAAAGACCCCTAGGAAAGCACCTGCGGTGGCTCAATGCGTGGCTCGCGTTCGATGCCGAATGTGAAAAGAGACCTTGATGGAAGTTCGTCCGGAATTCGGGTTCTCAGAGGTTGACGCTCGGTTCTTGCATTCGTGGAATGAGTTCGTGAGAAGAGTCGGCCTTGCCTGCGAGCACCCTAAGCCCTAAGCCCTCCCGCGAGCCCCCCCTCCCACCCCCACTCTCACATAAGAGCCGAGGGGCTGTAGAATCACATGCCCAAAGCCCTAACCACAAACCCCCTCCTTGTGAAACGGTTACCCAGAGATCTCAGGTATCGTGCGCTTTCCCCGGGAGAGTGGTGCGATTGGACCCCTGGTCTTCGTGCCGCAGCTCCTGATGTCAGGCTGTCATACACTTTCATAGACTTCTCATATGCTTTCTGAGTTAGGGTTCGGTTCTCTCCCCAGCACTCCAGGAAGTTAATTCGAGGTGGGAGGAAGTGTGTCTATCCTCATCCTCGTTGCTACTTGTATCCACTACTACGAGGAGCCAACTCATCAAGACCAGCACTTAGTACAGTGCAGGATGGATGAGCTGTGTGGTTTCCAGTCCTTGCTGTCCCGGCTCTATGGCGTCGGACTTCCAGTATGGCATTTAGTCTTAGGATCCTCAGGAGTTTGCTACACCAGGCGGTCGTAATTCGACCCACCATGACCCACCCAACGTTTCAGTCGAAAGCGGCGCTGTATCCATTTGGCTTGCTCAGACTTTCTACGGTTTTGGGATGTTCTGGGGTTCAGGGTTGAGAGTAAAGTTGCTGAAGCTCCGCGTTCATAGTCGCCCCTCCTGGCTTCTGCCGCAGGCACCTTCATCCCTGTGCAAGCAATTCCGCACTTCCTGCGATGGATGCAGTATATCAGCTTCCTTCAGCCATCGGCTCAGATCCAGGAACAACAGATTTCACAGATGTCCTAAGCCCTGCGACCCCATAACCTTCAAGCTTTATCACCTGAGAGCTTGAACACGCCCGACAGGCTGAAGTAGATTTCGTAGCCGATGAGGGTGTCTCGGGTTTCTGCATGACAAAGGTACCGACTTCCCCTTTTCCAGCACTTTGGCTTCTGAGCTGTTCCGAGTGCTGACGTGACTGACGTGAGTTTTAGATTGCAAGGTACGCAGTCAAGCTGCTTGCCATCGTCGAGTTCCGGAGGCCGAAAGATGCTGGGGGTGGCTCACAGTGCAGTTTGTAGCAGCCGAGAAGCAAAGAGGTGCAAAGAAGCGGCTGAGGGGGCTGAGGGGGCTGAGGGGGCTGAGGGGGCTGATGGTTGAATTGGGCAAAAGTTATGGAAGTGCTGAGAGAAAGAGGACGGACCCAATGCTTCAGAGGGTCATCTTCCGGACGATGGAGGCGCCGGGGGGAAGGGGGGGAGGGGGGGGGGAGTTTGTTTACCGCCGAGCACTTTTGCCTTGTGCTTTTCTGGACGTGCTAGCAGAACTAGAAAATAAACACTGGCCGAATATGCGCACCGCCTCGCATGTCGCCCCATGTACTCTCTTGCATGTAATAAGGAACAGGGATCCCTATCTCATAACCTTTGGTCCGTCATACACAAAACGCGAGCAAGCCTGTAGTTTCACTGTCAAATTGTCAAAAGCAACGAAGAGAGACGCCCTTCCCTTCCCATTGTAGTCCGGAGACAAGGAATAAAAGTTTCACCGTTCCTGCCTTAGAAAAATGATCGTGGTGGACCTTCTCTTTCACATCTGGCCTTCCTGCATCACCCCAGCTTGTCGAATCCGCGTGTTTTTCATCTAGTTTTCCAGCTTCCAGCTTCTCGCAGTCTCCAGATTCCAGAGAATGCTTTTCTTCAGTTTCCCGAACCTGCGGCTTCCACGTGCACCAACTGCCAGTTTTCATGGACTTCTGGGCTTGAATTTCCGAAACCTGCACCAGTTTCCCCACATCCGAGCCTGTTGCATCATCGGAGTTTTGTTTTTCCTTTGCAGAATCGGTCTTCAGTCGAAACTGGGAGTCCTCATGTGAGTCCCCAGAAGTTCTTTTGAGGTGGACCCCGAGCTGACGAAGGTGTACATCGGCACCCTGTTGCTGATGCCGCGAGCTTTGGAGCGCCTTTCTGGGGTAGTGGCAGCTCTGACACGTCAGACCTGGGGCGTCGGAGGCTGCGCCCCTCTGAGGTGCGTGGTCTTTGCCCTTGTAGCCATCAAGCTCCTCAGCGGCAAAGCACACAGCGTGTACTGAGACAGCTGAGACTAGGTGACAGGAGCCGGAGCAACGTTTTTGGACTCCTCTGCAAAAGCCCCCCTAAATTCTTGCTGAATGTTGGCCCGAAGGGGTTCCATCGATTTGACTATTGGCCTTGGAGCGGCGGCAGAACAAGAGCGAAGTGAGGCCTCTGCATTTGCGCCCCCATGAGCCACGCAAGACCCAGAAAACACTTCTTAGAACGCACCCCAACCAAGCACGCGAAGCGCACCACACTCCCCTTGAGAGGGTTTTATGGGGGATTCTGGGGTGTAGTGAGTGTAGGGATTGACATCTCGGCCTATCTTTGGTAGCTTCCACTCCTTTTCCTGGCGTTCTTCATTTTCTGAAGGCATCGGCCTGTGACCTAGACTCTTTCGGCTCCAAGGGGGGGTTTTGTCTAGAGAAGCAGACGATGAGGCACGGGGTTCCGGGGATTTACTGTTTAACCTGTAAGTCTTTTGGTAAGCACAAAAAGTTATCATACAGCTCATAAAGGGCACAGGCAGAGGGTGGAAGAGAAGAGTTCTGCCGGCCACAGCTGGGAGCTCAGCGTGCCGGACGCATGTTGCTTCGCCATAAGCACTGAGATTTGGGTGCGTTTCGGCGACTCCCTGTGTGGGGCTTTTCGGTGCTTGTGGAGTGGGATCTAGAACTTCAAGTATAGATCTCTTAAGTCGAAAGGCTTCCAGTTCTGCACTGCTCTTGTAGCTGCTGCCCGAGCCGTCTGGCGATCTACGCTGCAATGCCCTGCGTACATACACCCTGCCCCCCCGGAAAGCGCTCACCGAGGCTCTCAGGACGCATGCGCGTCTCGCTCGCGACGCCAGTGAAGGCTGTTGCGCGGCGAGCCCAGGAGTGATGCATACTCATGCATACTCATCTCAAGACCTGTGCCCCGGAAAGGATCGGAAAGCCGGGGTTCATGGAGAGCAGGCGGCACCTCCGAGAAACAAGAAAGATATTGCAGAATACAAGGCAGGCCGAAGAGTTCACAAAGCCAGCAGTCAAAGTCATGCCTTCACGACGTTTTCATAAACGAGGAGTCGGAGGTACAAGATAGCAGCAAGACATGCCTCATTTAGGAAAGAGAGACAAACAACCCTACGGATTTTGGCTCAGCAACTTTACGGAACTTGATGGAAGCATGCTCTGCAAACGGCACTCGCCCTAGTTTGTCTAGGACTCGTACTCAGGCCAGCGGGCGCAAATCGCTCCGTGTCACGTCCGATCAAGGCACTCGTGATGCTGACAAAGTCTGAACTCGAGAGTCGGAAATTCTTTGCTTGTGGTACTGATGGACTACTATGCCTTGCGTTCGATTCTTAGATCAAGTCTAAACCTTGTCCAAATCTTCAGTTGAAGATTGTGATAACAAGAAAGCGAAGTTGCTTGCGATGCTTCTCCAGCCCACGAGTCCAAACTGCATGGGTGCAGGCTGTGTACTGCGTTAGAGATTGATGACACCCTTCAGGCCCCATACCAAGACGCATCACTCTTGCACCTATCCGCACGACGCTTTAGAACCTCCCAACGCGCAAAGGGAAAGTGCCCAAACCTGCAAACGTCCTTGCCAGGGCCCGCTCCTGCGAGTGGCGCGGGAGGTGACACGGGAACGCCTGGGCAGCGAGGATGGCCACGGCGGCCACAGCTTTGGCCGCGCAAGCTGCTGAGACGGTTGAACATTTCCCGATCTGCATGTGTTGAGTTTTCTGGTCACCTGGTCTTTGGTTTCTGCATCGGATACTGCAGGGTCTCCTCCGAGCTTAAGAACAGGGGCTCTCTAGGATGCCCTGAGGTGCCTCTGGTGCAGGTGGGTCGAAGCACCGTGCTCGACGAGGTCAAGAGCCGGGTCTAGGGCCTCAGATGACTGCGAGTCTCTGAGTCTCTGCGGCTTTTCACCCCCCAAGGTTGCCGAGTTTTTGCGTGGGGGGGCGCGGAAGGGTTCCCCATTAGTTTTTTAAGGGTCTAAGGTTAAAGAGGTCCCGACAAGCGGGTCCTGAGAAGGGATGAGAAGGGGCCACTTGGGGGTCCCAAATCCCACGTCGAAACCCGCAAAGCCGACCACGAACACCGCTGCGATCGCACTACTGAACTTGTCAGAGGGTCCTTATTTGTCCCTCGAAGTTCCTTAGAGTCTTAGATGTTGCTTAGGGAGCAAAACCCCGAAGACCCTGCCGTAGGTCACTGAATCGACTCCACACCCTGCCTGGGTGGCAGTGCCCATCACACAGTGCCCGGGTACCGGGACCGCCCAGCGGCTCAGGGCTCTAGGGTGTTGATTGTTCCCGTGGCTTCGGGTTCTCCCTCTTGCTTAGGGTTTCATGTTCCCCTACACAGCCCTGTGCCTTTTGGTCCCACGTGTGCCAGGAAGAGCCACTCAGTTTGTGCGTACCAGAGCATCGGAGACAGGCGAGCCTGCCGTTTCATCGCTTCGGAGTAGGTGAGAGGTGCGTTACGATTATCTTGCAGAGTGCCACGCTTTGCATGCAAGCAGTCCCAATCGTCCCTGCGGCACTGGTGTGCAATGAAATTCTCACGACTCCTTTCCAAGGAAGACCCAGGAGGACCGATACACATTAGCCGGAGCCCTGGATGTCGTTTGGAAGTTTTACAGGCAGGGGGGCGCACCAAGTCACCAAACTCGACGACTACAATACGGCAAAGTCGACCTATAACCATGCCCAGCCAAGGCAAGCTGCCGAATGTCACAATTGGGGACTGAAGCAAACCACCCGTAGCTCGAAATCCGCAGCCACAGCCCTGCCATGCTCTGTCCTTCCGCAGGCACTACAACCACAAGTCATCTCCCGAACCCAAACTTCGCACGACAACCTCGATTCGGGAGAACTTCTGCTTGGAGATTTTGGGCCTCGTTGCCTAGGGACTACATTGAAATACATCAAACTATCAAAATTCATGCCAGCTCCGTTCCAAAAGGGTCTGAGTGGCATGCAGGTTAACCCCCAACCCTCAAAACCCGTCCTGAAACCCATCCCGAAACCTCATCCCAAGCCCGTGCCGAAACCCCTTGGCCCCGAAAGCCTCGCAGGTGCCTTGCCTCGACCCGACGCTCGAGGTGCCAAATTCATTCTTCGGGCCACGGCCTCGGAGTTCACCCCTTTGACGCGCCCCAAACAGAAGCCCAAAATTTTAGAAGCCCAACATTTTTGGGGGGGTTGCCTAGACTGGGGTCCCTTTCTTGGGTACCTTTAACTCGAACCCGCGCAGAGCGCACTGCAATGAGCACACAGCACACTCTGCAGGCCCAAGATCCAAACGCTCTGGACAAAGTGAAGGTGCAAGCTGAAAGAGAGGAGCAAGCAGTTCACAGCTGGAGCAACTCACTTCTACAAGCAACGTCGCTGTGCAGAGGTCGCAGAAAACGCCGTCTGTAGACCAGCAGCAAGAAATCCGAGTGCACCGCGTCGAAGCTTCACGGAAATCATCGAAGTCGAGGGTGTCCTGGATGCCTCATTGGCAGCCAGGCATCAGGCTGCAAGGACAGGTCTTGCATCGCTGCAAGTCGAAGAGTTGTCGATGCCAACGAGGACATGGTGCCTGTGCCAGGAAGGTCAAGTCCCTCTGTACAAAGCCCTGGTCGGGATGGCAACGTCGACACGCAACCTTCCAGGAAGAATACTTCTCATTTACAACCCCCAGGCTGGAGTTGCAGTTCAAAACCTTATAGCCCGACAAACCTTTTTGGACCCTTCGAGCCCGAAGTCGAAAACAGACTCAGCATGTTGAGGAACCAAGCCTCGGTGTGTTCTTTGGGCAACAAAAGCAAAATCTTGACCTTGGCGCCAAGTGTTTTCGACGGCACCGTCGGCGATTTCGCCTCCAATGCTGTGAAGGACGTGGATTCCCCAAAGCGCCCTGGTTCCGAAACCATCACCCTCCACCCCACAACTCAAATGCCCCTGAAGCCCAAAGCGCTCCTGAACTCCATGGGGTTGCCTTAGGCTTGCCTTGGGGCTCCAGGCATCACTTGGGGGGCTCATGGTGAGCCGTTGCGAGGACCTCGTTGTGCCAAAGTTGCTGGAGTCCCCTAGCTGGAAGGTGGGGGGCACTCGGAGACGTTGTTTGGGGTGTTGCGGCATCAGAAACCTAAACACATTCTATGCTGTTGTTGAGACCATTTTCTGAGAGAGTGCTGCGAGGCTTCTGGATTCCCTCAAAGCTCAAGCGAGACCTTTAAGCCCCAGATTCCAACTTCCCAGGCATTTCGGCAGGCCCATGGTGGGCTGAAGCCGGCCGAAGAGGACGGGGTTTCTCGGTTTTACAGCTTTCCAGGAATTGCCGGGCTAAGGTTTGCAGGGTTTGAGTTTGTTGAAGGGTTTACAGGTTTTGGATGGTTTAGGTGTTTTTGCTGCTTCCGGGACTCTTCCAGCCAGGATGGCTTTAAAGGTTTCTGCCTGGGAGTTTCAAGCAGTCTCGAGCCACTCCGAGCCACTTCGCGTGAGGAACGTCTGCTGACAGAAGCCTTCCGGGATATGTACAGCAGCTTGGCAGAGGAAGAAGTTTGCACACTGCGACTGCGAAAGCCACCAGTAGCATCAGTAGCCCGAATCCGTGCAAAGAAGGGTCGGTATGCTCCGTAGCCCTTTTGTTTAAAACTGAACCCACATGCTGCTTCAGGGTGGGCCGACGAGGCTTTGCTTGCCCATTGTGCCCGACACACCCAGGCAGGTGTCCAACTTTCCTGGCAAGTCTGCGTCATGACCAAATCATGGTGTACGTGAGTGTATCCTTTCCAGCCCGTATCACTCCCTGACTTCCAGCACTATGCGACGTGTACATCCGTCACGGTGCTGGTTGTCGGAGACCTGCTGGCCCCGAACTTACTTAGGGGCCTTTTGTGCTCCCCTTGGAATGGAGGTCTTGTTTTTCCAATTCTTGCACTTCCGCGTGCCTAGTGACTTAGCGCCGGCTAGCAGGCGGAGGGCTTGAACCCCAAGCCCTGAAACCTTGAGCCGTGAAGGGGTGTGCCCCTCACAGGCAAGAGTTGTACCAACAAAACCTGGGTGGAAGCGGGCTGAATGTTCAGTCCTCAGGAAGAGGGCCAGCATGCTCCTTCCAAGGTGGTCGGTCATCTGGGAGACTCCAGAATCATCTTGGCCAAGGAGCCCCCAGTGGGCTGCAAGGAACTACTGGCAGTGTTTGGGTTTCCTCCAAGTGTTAACTGTAGATTCCGAGATATGTGGACAAAGCTGACATCCTGGCACAGCAGCGACTCGCCGCATCCCCCTGCAAAGCCTGAAGACACCTTCCCGACCCCAAATTGCTCCATTCGCGCGTGAGGAGGAGGAGGAGGGGCGAGCTGGAGAGTTATTAGGCCGGTCTAGTGGCGTGCCAGGTTTGCAGAGGACCTGTGAAAGGTGGCTTCAGTTCCTTTGCAGTCCCTTGCATCGGATTGACGATTCTTCATGTTTCGGTGTCTTAGGCAGTTGTTTCTCACCCGGTTCTTCGGTTTGGGAGATAGAAAGCAGCCAGGCGCTTCCCGGAAAAGCTTCACCCCGCCCTTGCCTGCCTTCTGGAACAAGCAGCCATGAACAAACTTTCAGAAAACTGCCATGCTGTTTCGGTTACTTCTGGAGGCGTCCTGGATTTGAGAGTTGGAGTTTGTCAGACAAGTTTCTGACCTTACAGGCCCCTATATTGCGCCTTGTTCAACTGTAGGACGCGAAAGGCTTTCTTGGTGCCATCCGTCCCACCCGAGAACACACCTGGCAAGCAGGCGAGCAGCTGACCCTGGACCACAAGTCCCGGGCTGAGGGGCGCAGCTGGACGGGATGCATACAGAGTGTCCGGCTTTTCATGCCAAAGGGAAAGCCGTTCGAGTGATGTAAGAGAGGGTCGAACTCTGACAGGAATGCAGTGGTACGGCAGGATGAAATGGGGACCCGTAGAAACAAATCGTGAGAAGTCTGAACAGCCCAGAGCTCCATGAGGCCCGACCTGGATGGCGAGCGCCGCCGGATTGAGCGAAACTCTCGGCTTCTCCAGCTTCTGGGGATGTTGAGCGGATGTTGGGAGGGTTCAGGCCCTAGGCATCCGGAGGGGTGGAGGGTTTAGGGTCCTGTTTTGTTTGGCGGGGGGCATGTTGAAGGTTGAGGTTTCATTTCCCATTGGTATCCGTTACATTCTTTGACTATTATTCTCTTTCCTGACATTGGTTCTTGCTGGGTGAGCGAGAGCAGAAAGAACGCAGAATCATTTTCTATAAGAACATCTCAAAGCTTAACATTTTGTTCGAATCACGTCTGTGTGCATGTGAGCAGTCTGAAGAGCCCAGGTCACGAGCCCATAAAACAAGTGAGTGAGTGGTGCGGTGCTGTGCAGGCCTGTGCAGGCTCTTTCCCAAGCACTGTGAAGGCTCTCATGTGCCCGATGCGGTGAGAGAGAGAGAGAGAGAGAGCTGGCGTCTAAGGCAATGTGGCGGCCTGGTGGTGCGGTTGCATTCCCGGCGGATTTAGCCGGAGTTCTTTCTCTTGCATTGTACCACGGGCCCATCGTGCTTTCGGTGTGCTGAAAGGAGATACACAGCGCCAGGCGGAATCACGGCAACAAGCCCTTCATCCGAGGGGGAGACTTCATGATGCGAAAGGCACGGCTGGTCTGTCACGTGAAGCTCGCACTTAGTCCTGAAGCGGGTCATTGTCACTCCCTGTCCGACGCATTTCAGACAAGTACTGGTCATGGAGGCATGGAGCTCTCACTACATCCGGTGGCCCCCAGAATCTCTTTCGCATGCCAGATCTCCACTCAAAGCATGCAGTCTTGTGAGTGGCTTACCAGGACTCATCTGAAAAAGCAAATAAGCATGAATACATCTTCACGACACGCGCGGCGATGACATCTCGCTGGGGCCGCGTGGCGCCAGGACCCCTGTTCGTGATTGTTGATTACGCTCAAAGCGCTTGGGGCTCTTCGAGTGACGGCCCTAAAGTCACCCCTAAACCCCAAAAGAAATCCAACAAGAGTCCCGAAGCCCACAGGTCTTATAAATTGTACTTCAGAGTCCACGTCAGTTGTAGGCATAAGGGGCCGTCGGATGAGTGCGGTTGAGTAGCAACCCGTCCTACTTCTGGTGTTGTATAGGGTTCTGAGGCGAGAGGCGCGGAAGCGGGGCGTGCGCCTGCATGGAAGTTTCCCCCATTCCCCAAAGAAAGAAGAATGCAATCAAGAAATAAAGAAAAGGGAAAGCATGAAATAATGAACAAAAGGAAAGCATGAAATAAATCAAGAAAGGCAAGAAAGAAAGAAATAAAGAAAGAAATAAAGAAAGACAGACATAAAGAAATAAAGAAAGAAAGAAAGAAATACATAAAGAAACAAAGCAAGCAAGAAAGAAAGACAGAAAGGAACAAATAAATCAATAAATAAAGAAAGTAAACGAAAAGAAAAGAAACCAAAAGAAAAGGAACGAAAACAACATACACGGAAAGAAAAGAGGCGAAAAGAAAATACACCAACATAAAATATCATCAAATAAATAAAGAACGACATAAATAGGTAAGCAAGAAAGAAAAACAATTATTGAACACATACAGAAAAAAACAAATACAAAAAAAATGTGCAAAAAACAAAGAGAGCACATGCATTCCATGGGTCGGGGGTGGGCAGGTGTGGGAAGGTTTCCTGTAGCCAAGCCACTGCAAGACAAGGAGCTCAGGCGTTTGCGGAAGAAATTTTGCACTATAGGTGCCATGAAGGGTCCATAGGGGTGTCCACTTAGAGGTCCATCGGGACCAGCCCACGGCTCATAATCGCCTGGCAGCAGGACTGGGTAGTGAGACATTACCAGAAACAAGAACCCCTACGGCCCGACTCCTTGGCAGATAAACCCTCAACAGCCTGCAAGACCAACGAGACTTAGGAAACCAAGGAAAGCGGTAATGAGGATCCCATGCATGAATGAGCTTAAAGAAGCCCTTCAGCAGACGGTTTCAGTCTCCGCTGCGGCGCAGCCCCTCAGCCGCCGAATGCAGGAGGAGTGGTCCAGCCAAGTGCCAAGCGGCCGGAGGGTGTGGGGCCCAAGCGCAGGAATTCAGACTGCTTTCTGGACCGCTTAGAGTTCTTAAAGGCAGTCAGGGATTGGGCAAGCTCTTGAACGCCTCGCCAAGCTTTCAGATTCCGAGATCTTCAACGCATCTCCCCACACCAACTCGGTGAAACGCGAGACTTTAAGCCTTAAGCCTTTAATCCCCTACTCCTTGCACCCGAAAAAACACAAGCCTTCTTCCTTCCTTGAAAGCAAAGCCGGTCAGCAAGGCTATGGCCCCAGTCGCCAGGGAACTCCGCCTCTTGCCAGCAGCAGCAGCAGGGTGCGTCGGGGTTGCTTCGGGTGTTATTATGGTTTGGGGACTTCTGCCATCTGTGGCCATATTCATGAAAGCAAGGACACACGAACGATGCCCCAACCACCCGCAGAAAGCAGTAGCATGTGTAATGGCTTGGTGTATGGGCGGCGCTGGCCCCTCCCTTTTCCACCAACCTGTCCCCTGACGGTTGTTCCAGCTCCCTATCTCTGAAAGTTCTGAACTGAGTCGGCTTTCTTGGGAACGCAGCACATCTCAGCACATCTCAGCACATCTTAGGTCATTCTCTTCAATGACTGGCAGTCCATATCCTCCAGGTGGGACCCCCATGTGCAAGCCCCAAAGTTGCCGAGTGCCGCGGTGAAGTCGGCAGAATCGGCAGAAGCCCAAAAGGTGAACTGCAGCCCGACATGACTCCACTGTCAAACGCCCCTAAGTTTCCAAGAAATGCTCCCGAAGAAGCAGCGCCTCTGCGAACAGGACCGGTGGCCGGTCCTGGTTGGATGGCAGGCACAGGCTCGGCGCAGGCGGTCCTGCACTCGGTTGCACAGCAACCGCATCTTCCCTTCCTGAAGCTTCATCTCTCGCAGGCGGTTTAGGAGACCATGCGTTGTTACCGGCGCCAAAGCAACTTTGAATCCTAAAGCCCTACGAGAACCTGCGCCGTAAACCCCAATCATTGGGAGACTGGGGAGTCTGAGAAGTCGTTGCCAAGCCCACTCAGGTTCCAGCTCGCCATCAGCCCAGATCATCTCAATCTCAGGCAGGGAAAACCTGATGCAGCGCTACGTTTTTAGGGTTGTCGCGGAGATCTGGCGCCGCAGCGCGAGGAGAGCCGCTTTTTCCAGCACGGGGGCCCTAAGGCAAAGGCACCCTCAGGCCATAAAACGCATGCGAACATATGCGAACCCAAATTGAACCAGCGCCTCCAAAGCTGTTTTTATGCTCTGCGTCGCGTTCCAGGCCACCGGCTCCCGGGCCTGGCCCGAGGCTTCCGGTTTTTTTTTCTTGTGTACAAAGGCTGCTTTGCTGCTTTGCTGCTTTGCTGCTTTGCTGCTTTGCTGCTTTGCTGCTTTGCTGCTTTGCTGCTTTGCTGCTTTGCTGCTTTGCTGCTTTGTGTGGAGCTTGCGGGTTCGCTGGGCTGGTCTCGTTAGGGGGATCGTCGGGGGTGCCGTTGGATGCTTTTCAGGGTTGCTGCGTGCAGTGTATAGGCGCTGCCTGGAGGTGGCGAAATAGGCATTGCCCGTTCACGCCTACGAGTTTTCTAGCAAAGGTACCTAGGAAGTGTAGGAGAAGTGCTGAAACCCACAATCGGGAGGTCCCGGCCCTCTCATCGGGCACTTGGCGTGGACGTCCTCCCAGAGGGGCCGGGGTCATCGCCTTCCGCACCGAGGAGGCGCCGAGTGAAGATGCATTCAGGAACTGGACTCGAAATTCAGGCACAAAATTCAGGAAACGCGTGGGGATTTCAGGAACCAGGAGAGGCCAGAACTCAGAACGAACACGGACCAATTCAGGAACAAGAAGGTCGGGATTCAGGCACTCTGGGTTTAGGGCTTTCAGGGTTCAGGCTTAGGGGATCTTACAGTTTAGGATTTTCCGGGTTTAGGTGCTTCTAGGGTTTGGAGCTTTTAAGGGTTAAGGGTTTTGCATATTCTCACACGGAGCCGATGTCATACGACTTGCTTGAAGCTGCTTTTCTTCTCAAATGTGGGCGGCCTTGCCCGAGCTCATCCTCATCTGCTGCACCCTGGGGTGCATCTGCGGGGCCTGTGCCGCTGCATTCATTCTTTCTGCGGCAGTTCGACGTTCACTGGTTTCTCTTCTGAGGCTGCTGGTTGCTTGGCTGGACTTGGCCCAAGGAGCTCCTGATCTTCGAGCGCACCTGGGTCAACGCTTGAGGGAGTACCGCCTGCGTGAATGAGTGGGAGCCAGAACTCTGTGGAAAGTTTGGTTGTGCAGCTCCTAGAGAGCTCTCAGTCATTGAGGTGTGCCCCCGAGCGCGCCGGTTTTGTGGCTGAAGATCCTCACGTTTCCTTTCACAGGTCCCCAAAGACTGCGCTGGAAGGCCGAAGCGAGGCGCTGTGTGCCAAGACTTCCCCTCGAAGGCGGGGGTCTTCGTCCAGGGTGCGAGGCGACCATGGCCTCAGGAGCTTTGAGAGGTGGCCTTTTGCGCCGCGAGGACATCGAAGCCTTGGTGGAAGCCGCGCCGTCAGGGCGACCTTTACCTGTGATCTACTTCTTGGACAATGCCGAAGCAGCCACTATGAGGATCACTGCTTTTTTGGTTCGAGTGCGAGCCGGGGGCTTGATGGCTGCTCTACCAGGCACCGACGAAATCCGCTCTCTACTCGAATCCCTGAATGCTGGCGATCCAGAGGCACCTTTGCTTTACATTCCGATGAACATCGTCTGCGAGACTCCGAGAAGGCGCAACGTGGGCGAGCAGCCCCTCCTCTTAGTGGACATTCTTACTGCTCGCAGGGGATGTCGAGAGAAACCCCGGCCCCTTTACATGACGGGGCTCCTCGGGGTGCGTTGGACATGCAAGGTGGTTTCGCTCCTTCCACTCGCCGCAAGATGGACAAAGCCCTCAGCGCATTTGCTCTATGGCTCCAGGAATTTCTCGGACAAAGTCTTTTCAGCGTTCTGAGCTCTGCTCAAGCTGCGGCTCTTGCCCTTCGTGCCTTTGGTCTTTACTTGTACTCCTCTGGCCAGCCCAGGTACCTCTTGGTTTACGCAATCACCTCGATCCAAGGACTGTCGTCCTGAATTCCGTTCCCATTTGTCTTCAGCCTGGCAAGTGGATCGCAAATGGCAACTTGCCGAGCCTGGCGAATGTCGGCCAGTCATCTCCCTTCCGGTGCTTCAGGCTGCTGTGGCTCTCAGTCTGTGCTGGGGTTGGTGTGACTGGGCTGCGCTCACCCTCGTGGGCTTCGTGTGTGTGTTGCACCCTGCCGAGATGATCTTCCTTCAGCGCCAGGATTTGGTCTTTCCTGAGGACGCTTTGTCGCCGGACCCGGTTGCTTACGTCCACATTCGCAACCCTAAGACGCAGCGGTTTGCCCGCCGGCAGCACTCGCGTCTTGAGGACCCACTCACCTTGCTGCTTCTTGAAGCTCTCTACCTTGACCTGCCCTTGCAGTCGCGCCTCTTCCGTGGCTCCATGCACACTTACAGGCGGCAGTGGAACGCCATCATGAGTCGCCTCGGGGTCCCGCACAGGCTCTCCCAAAAGGGCGCAACCCTGGTGTGCTCGAGGGTCAGGGGCCACCCACCTCTACCTAGAGACAGAGGACTTGCCTCTAGTGGCGTGGAGGGGGAGGTGGGCTAGAACCAAGACGGTTGAGTTTTACCTCCAGGAGGTAGGTGCACAATTACTCTTGCAACGCCTTCCGCGATCGGCGCGCGATCGGATCCGTTTGTTGAGCACGTACTCCCGCGCTCTGATTCTGAACGTAGTTCAGTCTTGTGGCGTTCGCCAAGAATACTAGAAGCGGAAGTTTGCAGGCAGCTCCTGTTTCACGGCCTTCGGCCGCAGTTTGGGACGCTTCGTATCCGCAGGCGGAAAAGTGTGATGGGTTTAGGGTTAAGGGCTTTTTGGGGTTTGGGGGTTTAGGGCTTTAGGGCTTGGAGTTTTGGGGTTTAGGGTTTTTTGGGGTTTAGGGTTTAGGGCATTTTAAGGCTTAATTCGGGCTCTGTGGGGTTTGGGTCTTCTTAGGGCTTAGGTTTTTTAGGTTTAGGGCTTAGGGCTTTTTCGGGGGCTATTTAGGGCTTAGGGCTTTCTTGGGTTTGGGGGTTTAGGGCTTGAGGGCCTGGCGTTTTAGGGTTTAGGGCTGTTTAGGGTTCAGGCCTACGCAATATAGTACATAGCTATCTGACTTAAAGCAGCGTGGCCCACATGCACTAAGTCAGATTCATTTCTACCAATAAACAGATCTGGATATCAATCCTACCGCAGCGAAGAGCCATTCTTTCTTGAATTTTCAATTTTTTCCTGAAATTTGCCTTCTGGGTTCCCGAATTGGATCTCTGCTGTTCCTGAAGTGGCCCTGGCAATTCCCGAATTCTGTTCCTGAATCCAGCTCTTGGTTCCTGAATCCGCTTTGTTGTTCCTGAATTTAGTTCCCGAATTGGTTGTTAGCCAGGAGGCGCCGAAGTTGTGGGCTTCTCTTTTTGGGGGGGTTTGGGGGTTTGCGGGGGGGGGGGGGGGGTAGGGGGGGGGTGAAGGGCGCGCGGGTTAGGGGCGGGGGTTAGGTGGGGGGGGAGTTTGGGGGTTTCTGGGGGTGGGGCTTCTTGAGGCCACCTTCGATCCCATCCCTTGGGCCTTGGAATTCTTCGCCGCCAGGGTTCTGGCAGATCACCGGGAGAAACGGCGACGGCCTCAAAGAGCCATTCAGGAGCTGTTGCTAACTGAAACCACAAACCGTAGACATACCCTGCAGGGATCATGATGTCCCTGAAGTGCAGGGGTGCGTGGCACTGCCACTGTATGGCCGTCGCGGGTTGAGGGCTGCTGTGACACGGCGCAGTCCAGTCTGTAGCTGTCACCACCACACGCATACACCGCTTAACCCCGCAAAAGACATTGAGACTTTGAGGTGTACGTCTGCCTTGTCGAGTCCAACAGCGGGAAGTTGAGCTTTCCCAAGGGTGGCAAGTGACCGGGAGGCAAAGAGCCCAAATGCATCGAATGGTCCCATGGAGCCATAAACCAAGGGGCTTAGGATGATGTTGGGGTCTTCCGGTGAAGCTTTCAGTCAGCAAATTTTCGGTCCGCTGTTTAGAAGCGCGCTTTTTTTAAATCATGTAAAGCCTGGGCACCGCCTGGCTGCGACCCCCAAGCCCCAAACCCCAAACCCCAAACCCTAAACCCTAAACCCTAAACCCCAAACCCTAAACCCTATATAAACCCTAAACCACTTTCCACTCCCAGGAAAGACTCCGACCGGAGCGTGCTGGACTGCGCATACCGGGAGCGCAGGGGCCCAGAGGTTGGTCCTGGGCTTTAAAGCCCATGGGCCCATGAAGAACACGACATCCTGAAGCATGAAAAAGCCGTAGCGCGCTTTGAGCATGAGGTCAGGCTTACAGTGCATGTGCAGGATTCGGGGTATTCAGGTAGTCCAGCAGTTTGAAGTATGCAGGCACAGGAAAGTCTCATGGCCACTTCATAATGATTCCCCGGAGCTTCTGTATGGTTTTTCTAAGGCTGTTGGAAGAGACCAGCATTCAGCAAGAGCGCTTGACCCTGTACCAAGGCAGCGTGCTTTGTTTTGACCACAGATGTTACTTGTTGCATGTACCCCCCCCCCGTCTTCTCTAGAGACCGAGCTAGCAGCAATAAGCAACCACATGTTCTTCTTTTCGCCTGCATGCTCTCCCAGGTCGCATGTGCACCCAGCACAAAGTGAAATGCCATCACTTGACAGTTTCATGTTTCTAGAAAAAGCAGAAGATGCGAATCTCGCATGGTCGATGTCTCATTCATAAAGTGGGAGTTCTTGCTTTTCTCCGTGCATCTGCAAACTGGCAGGGATGTGCATGCTTTCGTTCGTGCAGCATGACTCGGGCTTGAAAGGGATGATTCCAACGGTGTTTGGCAAAGACTCTCACATGAAAGACGGCCTTTGAAACTCAGCCATTTTAGATACCCTTTGTTCGGCCGAATTGCGTGTCAAAGGGAACAAAGCTGCATTTGGATATACGCCATCAAGAACGACTTGTCCGTTTATGCATGATGGAACTTACTTGTAAGGTCTGCCATGATGGTATTTGAACTCAACCATGACAGGCCTTCACCTGGATGAGGACAGGTTCGGATGTCGGTACCTGCTGGCTGAGGCTGTGGTCCCAGTGGCATCCAAGGGGCTTGGCATTGACTTGGGGTCAAAATTTGCTTTGTCTGAGGTCAACTGCCAACATGCCGACCAAGATTTCGAGATCACAGACGCGGGATGGGCACCGCGACATGAAGATCCCACTGACAAGGACCTGACAAGGATGGCAAATGCATCTTGGGTTGGTTTGCAAGCGCTGTGTGTGGATTGGTGACTGCCAGGCCCCCATACCCAGCAGAGCCTAGTAGAGTAGGCCTCTAGGCCCCTGGGCCCCTAGGCATCTGTTTGGCTCGAACCTTGCCTGGTGCCAGGATCCAGTCGTGCGCGCCCATTGGGCGCCTGTGGCAGCAGTCTTGGCAGGCCTCCGGAGAAGCCCTCAGAAATCGCACGTTAGCACCTTTAGGGAGGTTTCCGGGACAAGAATGCGCTCCTTCGAAGTGCGGACGCCTTGTCAAAGTAGAACAAACATGTTGTCAAACACCGGATCAGGCTCGGCCGGTATGATGGCGACGCTTTGAAGTGACATTAAGAAGCAGTGTGCAGCTCCGCTTTTCCGTTTAATTTTGCCGGCCGAAGAGTCTGGAGGTTGTCAGTTTACCACCGCTTCTAGTTTCCGGAAGATGCTGCAATACATATTTCGCGGCCTCATGGAGGATGCGAATCCCTAAGCCAAGCCAAGAACTGAGTTTTTTTTTCCGACCTTGATCTCGCCACATCCCCAAACGGCTGAAACTGTTAGCTCAAGCACCCTCTGCCTGTTTGAAGGCCAGTGGGCCGGGCTCCACAAGGGGCGTGTGCCGAGCCCAAAGCTTTCGAGGATTTAGGGCTTTGGGATGTTTAGGGGGTTTTAGAGGGCTCAATGGGCTAAGGGATGTTTCAAATCTACGCGGTTCAGGGCTTAGGGGTTTAGGCGTGTCACGTGTTCGCGCACGCCACAACGCAGGGTGTGTTCGGATGCCCTTCCGATTCCCTAAGCCCCAACGAACTCCTAAAATCCCCTAAAGCCTGTTTAGGTGGAGATGCTGAGAGATGCGGTCAAGCTGCGTAGAGACAATGTGCGCAACAACTCTGACTGAGCGAGACTGTACAGGAGCACGGAATCCGCGTGCGCTCGCAGAAAATCCAAAAAAGGGCTGTGTTTTGAGGGCTGCAAGTTTGTCCCGTGGCGTCATGATGCACCCGGGTCTAGTTGTTCAAGCTGCCTAGGTTGCTGAATGGATTGATGCCATGCGAAGTTTCCAGGTTCAACTGTCGGGGCTAGAGGCTGCAGGTTCAACAGCTCTGTTCCAAGCACTTGTGGTTTTCATGGTGTTTTGCTCTTTTGCCTTTGCAGGGACTCGGGGAGCAGCCGATGCAGCTGCAGTACTCCCGCGCATTTGGTGCCAAAGACCCGCGGCAGTCTATGTGGAGGGTCAAGCCTGGGAGTTCAGGTTTTCATGACCCGCTCAGGTTAAGAGAAAAGGAGCCCATGGGGCCCTGGGTGAGGTGAGAGTGTGTGAGAGTGTATGATGAGGCACAGATGGTTTTGAGGGTCAGGACGTTTCGCCCGACCGAAACCGGCACGATCGTGAAACAACATCGACAACAAGCGTGTGTGTGTGTGTGTGTGTGTGCACCCTTGAAAAGGGTGAAACTAGCTTTCCAAAGGCAGAGAAGCGCACCTCAAAGAGCGCCCCAAGAGAGCTTCGACAACACTGCGGCCAAAAAAGGCCCAAAGAAACGGACAAAAATGCACTGAGAACCCTCCGACCTGGCCCCTAGGATTTGAAAGTCTTCGGCATGAGCTGCATGCCGGATGTACGGCCCGGGATCCCAAGTGCAGGAGACTTGTGGGATGTTACGGGGCGTCCCTCTGTCTCTCTGCGTTTGGGAGACCTCTAAGAGTTGGGATTCTGGCAGCAATGTCCGGCCATCCGCATGCAACGTGCTTCGTGAACTATGGTCCTGCGAACCACTGCCCGTAAAGCAGTTGCATGATCCCCTTGTAGTATTTCAGATGCTCTTCCCACTGCCAAGGGTGATTCGCATGGGGCACTCTCCCTACAAGTCCGTTCGCTCCCTCGTCCTGGCATCGGATGGGCTGTGGGACGTGATCAGCACGCAGGAGGCTGCTGCATGTTCGGAGTGACCAACGAAAGTTTCTCGGCTGGCCTGAACATCCCTGAACATGCCTGAACTTGATGAGAAATATGGTGAAGACACATTCTCTGCACCTTCGCAGTTGCCATTGCGATGTTCAGATGCCAGCAAGCCTCGAGCCCTAGATCATGAACCCTGTAACCTGTAGCCCTAACAACATCTGCAGTTGTTGCCAGGCCGTCCGCATTTTCCAGGAGGCCCTTCGTCATGCACCACCATTCCGGGATTAGCGCGCCAGGGTTCCTCACCTTTGTGAATCGTAAATCAGGCGGCAGCCAAGAACGAGCACCCAGCAGAAGCTTTGGTGACTTCGGCTTTGCGTGAACAGGCACGGCTGGGACCTCGCTGCTCAACCGCAAACCCTAAACCCTCATCAGGGTTAGCGCTTTTGGGGCTTTCTAAAGGCCTAAAGGTCCGACGCTGAAAGCCCTGAACCCCTTCCAACATTTTTCGGAGGTCCGGCTCGGGGCGCGGGTCTCAGAGGCTCCGGAGGTGTCTTAGCCCTCGCAGGGGTTCACAAGACCGCTGAAGGGTCTGGACCAGGCTTGGGGTGGAGCTCTCGGGGTTTTAGGCCCTGCAAACTGTGATGTGCAGGTGGTTTCAGGTGGTTTCGTTGAGGCTGGATCCTGGGTTTCGAGAGGGCGGGTGCTGTCTTGGACGGTCTGCGCGGTCATCTTTCGCCCCATGTGCCAGACACCCCCGGACCTTTTGGCCCTATGGGCCCTTTGGGTGCTTCAGGAATCATATGTGGGGAAGTAATCTGCTGGACACGGTTGCATGTCGAAGCCGATGCTAAGGGGCGCGCGGACAATATCACTGCAGTGACTGTCCAATTCGATCCACATTGACATGAAATAAGTTGGTGGCTGAAATCTGTCACTTGGCATACTGCTGCCGGGGTTTCATCCCATCAGCATGGAATTAGCATCAAGCAAGAGTGTGGCCTAGTAGGTCGTTGATGTTACAAAGAGAGCTCTCATGACTCCCTCATATTCTTACCGCTACAGCATCTTACGATGTCTCAAGTCCTTATTCTGCTCATCGCCTCTGTGGCCAGTTCCCTGAAGTAGGGGAACCAAGAGCCCACCGAGCTCGAGAACATCAGCTTAAGCAGAGCTCAGCTCTGTTCCGCAGCTGCTCCGAAGGAGCCGCCTTCGAGATCTGTCAGTAGATGGGTCGAACAGGTTTGGAGTGTACTGCAGTGTAGATATGTGTAGATTCTACAGCTAGGGCACACGGGTTATTGCACTGAGAATGAATAGGTTTCCATCTTCGGGTATCAGTCAGGGCAGCTGCTTTTTGCCACGCTCTTTTGATCTGATGTGCAGCCGACATTGGGGCCAGGGGTGCTTCTAAGCCGACGATTGTCCTAGCAAGCTTCAGGTAGTGCAACCTGAGACGGCTGTGGGCCGGGAAGTGCCCGGTAAGACCCTGGAGGCCAAGAAGCTGAAGGCAGCCACCGCACGTCCAGATTGCCAAAGGACTTGCTTCTGAAAACCCGACCTCACCCGATGAAAAAAAACGCATGCTTTTTTCAAAGCCCCTGCCGAGGGTGGCTGCCTCGGTTTTCAAGTCAACCGCTTGGGATTGCACTTGTGCAGATGGATTCGCGCTGGGGTACTGGGGTACCACGGATTCAGAGCCCATGGAGCCCATGAGGAACCCATGGAGCCCATGGATCCTTATTTGGCACGGGCTGACACGTCATAAGCAGGAAGAGCAAGAGATGACTCGCTTCGAGGGTCTGAGAGCAGAGCCAAGGTGCCTGTGCCCTTGCGCCAGCAGCCCCGTCTCCTGTCTCGAAGCTTCCACGTGCCGGTAGAACATACGGCACACGACCCCAATCCTGATGAATCCCCCCAGAACTCCCAGAGAACTCCCAAAGAACTTCCAAAGAACTCCCAATGAACTCCCAAAAGAATCCGACGAGAGCTCAGAGTTCCTAGACCACGTCTGTTCTTGGAGGTGCCGTGACAGTGAAAAGCGCGCTGGAAACACGCTCAGCTGTCTTGCCGCGGGATTTCAAAGTCGGTAATGCAAAGAGGCGAGATTTCCCAGCCATACTGTCGATGACAAACGGTACTCGAGTCTATGGGTCCGGACATCGGGTTCGAGCATTCGGAACTCACAGGGCATTCGCCTAAAGCTGCTGTGCCTCAACACTTCTACGCAAGTTTCGAGGGTTGAGGTGTGGCTCGTCAGTCTGGCACATGGGAACTCCGACGATTGTTTTTTCCCCTTGAGTTGGCGCAGTCAGTATTCTCAAGGCTTTTGAAGCCCGCAGGGCATGCACCGCCAGTTGACGTCGGGTGGTCAGGATTACCTCTTGAAATGGGGAAGAGTGCCTAAGAGGTTCATGCCTACTTCAGGCATGTTTGTTCTGTTGCCGAAGTCTCATGGCATGTCACATCGGTGCATGGTCTGCATTGCCTGGCTGCCCGCGCACCCCCCAGCGCAGCCAATTGTATTCTTACTTACCAAAAGGATTGGTTTCACTTCGGAAAATTGGTATGTTTCTCCAAGGGTGGATAAAATGGCATGGCAGCTGCAACAGTCAGATGGTGAAACGGTGAAACCACGACTGTTTGAAGTGATTTCTTTGCCTACCGAAAGTGGCCTGTCAAGTTGGGGCTTTGGGCTTTTAAGCGAATCCTCTCTGATGCAGCTCATGCTCAACTAATTGGCTTTTCAGGAGGTCAGTCTGGAGTTTGGCAGTTTGGGCTTGATGGGGCTTGATAATTTTGATTGGGATTCCGTTTCCGAGGAAGGTCGCGTGCCTAGGAGCAGGAAGTCTTGCCACGCTTCTACTTAGTAGTCGCGGGCTGTGTAAATTACTGCGCGCTGCCCGCATGCCTTTGTGGATTGGAGCCTGACTGAGAAGTTCTGTTCGGCCCGCATGTCAGGGTGAGGATGACATGGTCGGACAAATGTTGCTAAGCAAGATGCAAACGTTTTGTGTTTCAATCCGGCTTGCTGGCAGCGTATGCACTGGCAGTGCACTTGGACTCACATACCATCAAGAACAGGCGATGAGGACAGCTCCACAAGAGAGACGTTCACGATGGCTGCGCTGGACTGCTTCTCTCAGTCTTGCACACGTGCTACAGGATGATTGCAAGGGTCCCAATCGTCATGAACCTCAATGTTACTCTCCCTGCCCACTTCCGCTGTGGTGGGGACTTTGGGGAGCAAGTTCCACTGCAACCCACGTGTCGCAAGGAATGTATTGCCAGTTGTACAATAGCATCGGCAAAGCCGGGTGGGTCTCACCACTTGGAGTTTCCTGGGTAGCGAATCAGTTCAGCTTTAGGTTCTTGAGCCCCTTCTTCTGGGATGCTTAGCTACCATTGGGGCTTCCAAGCAGCATTTTCAAACCATCGAGCCTGCAAGAGGTGAGTTGCAGCCGCAAGCTGCAGGAGTTGAAATGGGAGTCTGGCGTGCAAGTTCCTTCCTGCTGTCTTGCGTGCATCCTCCACGCATGTCATGCGTGCGCAACCGGCAGTTCTTGCAGGCATCCAGTGTTAGTTGGCCACACCGCACTGAAATGTACAAAATCTACAGACGCTGTTCTTTTTTCATCATGGTCTTTGCATCTGGGCTCGAGACCTGTTCAGCATCACACTGCTCGAGGCAGTTGGGCTTCTTGCCACACATCTATTTCAGCCATGTGCTCTGCCCGAGGCTCAGCTGCTCAAGCGAGGTTTCAGGAGTCGGGGAAGCAGTTGTCAGCGAGCCATGGGGACTAGAGCACTTCGAAGCCCCAGAACGGATGAGAGGAGGGCCGGGGTATGGGAGTGCTACTCGAGTGGCTTAACATTCCTGCGCATGATGCCTCGCACGATGCATGCCTTGTACATACTTTCTCCACCGGCGCTGCGTCCGTGTTTTGTTGCTTCTGTGTTTTGGGCAAGTTGGAGGGTTGATGCTCGACAGTTTTGTCGTTGTGCATCTTTTTGCAGAAGGAGAAAACGGAGGGATGCTCGACTGGATTTGCGTATGACGTGCATGGGAGCTAGCTGAACTGCTTCTGTCACACACATGCTGTTTGCAGCATGCCATTGCAGCACAACGGTCCTCAGCTTCGTGGTTCTGAAGTCTAGCTTCCAAACCACAAAGAGATCATTCTGCAACTCTGGATGCACCTGCCACATTCTGCCTTTAGCTAGCAAGAGCGCTTAGTTTGCTTGCCCGCGGGACAGCGGACAGCAAAGAGGCAGCAAATAAGCTCTTGCAATTCCCCCAGGTTCTCTCCGCCATGATGTCCGCCACAACTTTCTGCGACTCCCCGACTCACTTTGATGTTTGGCGCCAAGCCCTCTGGAGACGTTTGTTTAGGAACAGAACAGTTGCTCTGAGCCCACGCGTCCAGAAGCTCTGTGCGCAAAAGCAGTGAACATGGCAGGACCTTGCAAGTGGCGTGGGGGGGCTGCTTTACAGGTTTTGGGTTCAAAAAGGGAGCCTTGTCGCAACAGGATCCCTCAACAAGGGACCCTAATCAAGGTGCGCCACCACTGCGAGATCCGCGGGATGCGAGGGTTCCGAGGGCCAGGAGGAGAACCCGCACTCTACACTTCAGGGCACTTCAGGGCACTTCAGCAGGGCACTTGAGGGCACTTCAGCAGGACACTTCAGCAGGACACTTCAGGGCACTTTAGGGACTTCAGGGCACTTCACTTCGAGGACTTTCAGGGGTTCAGGGGGTTCAGATGGGTTGAGGGTTCCAAAGGGGCCTCTTAGATTTCAGGGGGGGCGCGAGTGTGTATCCCTTTGAGACCATCCCCATGAATTCGCTTGAGTCGTTCCTGACTGTCAGGACCTGGGGGGTTTGGAGGAGGATCAGGGCGCCAGTGATATGTTTTTGTTGGAGGTGGCCCGGCCCTCAAGGGAGGAACATGATGGCCAGTTCTGGTTTAGAGCCGATGTGTTTAGTGTGTATGGGTCTATGAGTTTATGGCTTCGTGAAAAGTATTCCAGCCTTTCTTTGTCAGCCACGGGGTCGTGTATTGCTCGGATTCCTTGGACCCTGGATCGTATTCCCATATCTCGCAGGCGAGCATGGCACGAAGCTGGCAGCAGCAGCATTCCGCCCCGCAAACCCTGCCCAGCAAAGCAGAGGGGCAGACCCCAAAAGGCTCTAGACCCCGAAACCCGAGCGGCTTTGCTGTTGGGGCCCCCGCCATGCATCAAGGTGCTCCACTTTAGAAGTTTCTTTATGGCCTTCAAAACCAGTGTCGGGCTGGGTGGTCGGAAGCTTGTCACGCACATCACATCTTGTCCGTCATGCGCCGCTAAGCTGCTAAGCCGCGAAGCAACACCTTCATCACCTTCGACCTGACGGCTTGCAGAGCCCAGGCTCCGGAGCATCAGAATGGCTGCGGAGGTCGCGCAAGAGGAGCAGAACCGAGGCGGTGGGGTGGTTAACCTATGCCATCCTATGCCTACTTGGGGGTCCTCGACCTCCGAGACCCCGCTAAGTCTAAACGCCGATTGCACGTCGATCGCCTCGGCCTGGAAATCTACAAAGCCCTTGGACGGCTTGGCGAAGAGGCGTTTGGATTTTTAGGGGTTATTTCGTGACATTTAGGGCTTCCGTGTCCCCAGAGATCCCTCATGTCCGAATGGACGATTGTTGGGGTGAAGGGGTGCCGACTTGAATTTCGCTTCGTTGGCGAGGGACTACAGCAGAGGTGGGGAGACCGGGGTCCCTGCAAACCCTCAATCCTAAACCATGCACGCCAGCAGGTTCTGAGAAGAAGGGCCGACAGCCCTACTCAGCATTGCTCTCCAGGGAGGCAGGACAGCCCTTTGACCGTCAACGCGTCACGAGCAGTCCCTGATTGGACCCTTC